TCCAAGAAATGGCAATAAGGCTAACTTGAAAGTTTGTTTTTAGTCATTCCTGTAATGATCAGGGCTTTGAGTACGAATCATATATTTTTAGCTTTTTATGCCACCCTTCACATCTCTCCATAGAGGTGGAGGGAAGATCTTATGGCTATTCTTTTGTTTTGTTCTGTTTTGTTTTGTTTTTCCATTATGTTTTCCGATGATGGGTTATAGCTGAGGCATGATTGAATATCAACGATATCTGTTATATCAATATATTGATATACATAGAGTTTCCTTGCATGCTCATTATAAAGTTTTTCTTTGCCCTTCCGAATTATTTCCACCCCATATGGTCAAGATTGATCAATATGTTATATTTCCTTTATATGTTTTGTAGTGTATTTTGTATATTTCCCGTTTATATCGGTATATCTTTTGAAAGAAAGCTTCGTATTTAGATTCAAGTTGGTATTAGAGTAGAAAAACTCTCATTTTTAAAATCTCCACTTGTTTCTGCAAACCTAGCAACTATTGAAATTTTAGGGGTGTTCTAATGATTCGAGAATTCAACCAGTCTGAACTATCCCGTCCAGATCATGAATATTGAGTTGGGTTAGTTCTTTATTTCGATTTGGGTTGGATTGAATATTTGAAAAATTGAAAATTTCAGTCAGTTTGCAAGTTGACATTGATCCGTACAACCTAAAAAATAGTTATTCGATGTTTGGAACAGTGCATTGTAGCTTGTGAATATTTGATATTTGAACTTTACGAAATTTTTACGAAATTTTTACGAAATTTTAGTTATTAACGTAACATGTATTGTAGATAAGTATAATTTTTTTTAATAATTAAAAAATAACTCGAAAGTCCAATCCAATCTAACTAAAAAATAAAGGGTCGTGTTGGGTCGGACTATAAACTCTAACCAATTGCTCGGATCATCCGACTCAATCAGTACACCCCTAATAGTGATTAATGGTCACTTTTTGACGGTGCATTCTACCTGTGGCAGGTGCATTTGAGTTTGTAATTGATGTTCTTCCCGTTCACTCATCTTAGTTGGTTCAAATTTCTGATTTGGTTTAGTATCCAATTGAGTTTAATCTTTGGTTTGGGTTGAAAACTTGTTTCTCTGGTTTGAACATTTCCTTTTCCAACCAAGTTACTTGCATGTCTTCCGCATTGGAACAAATTGATCAAACTCCCCACAATTGCTATCAAACTCATACAATCAGCTTAAAAAGCTTGCTTTAAAATTGAACTTTCAGCAACAACACCAAAAAAACTGCTACCCTTAGCTCATTATTTAGAATTTGTCCTTGTAGAAACTGATCCAACTCCAAGATTTGTACTCAAAATCTTCATGATAACAGTCTGTGGGAGCTTTTCTCTCCAAACAACTCTGCTCTGTCCAATCAAACATACAGAAAGTAAAGATAGGGTTGAAAGCAGTAAAGTTTCTAGGATTGTGTACCTAATGTCGGGATATGGAGCATCACCAGATGCTTAGATCTGGTAGAGATATATTTGAAGTAAAGATTATGATATATGTTTGGAAGATATTTGATAGAGATATATTTATTAGATTATATATGTAGTTTAAATCTTTGAAAACTATATTAGTAAATTGAAACCATATATATACCTCATTAAAGATGAGAGACAGTGCTCTCAAAATGTACTTTATTCATTCTCTGTATTCTATCTTATTGTATATACTTGAAAGTCATCGACAATAAAATTTTTAGTCAATATTCCCCATTGTCTTTTCTCTCTCCTGTTCTTTGTGTTCATTTTGACCGAGTGTGTGCGTGTTGAGCGATCCTAACAATTGGTATCATAGCTAACAACTGGTATTGATCATAACACCTAATTAGCCACTAATTTAGTGGTTTCGGCTCAGTTTCCAAGTGGAAATGGGATTCATATTCATATTTTGCTCACACAAGCGGTGCTAAGTTTTCATCCATTAATTACATGGTTGAAGAAATTGAATATGATTTGATTTTAGATGCTCCATTGAGTTGTTAATTAGACTAACAAATAGTAAAGGTTATGATTTGAGTATGGTTCCATATTCCTTTTCTTTCAATAAAGTATCCTCAAAATGGCACCATATTTCTTAGCATTATAATTACAATTACTCTAAAGAGCTTTGAATGATCCTATTTTGTTCCTCTCCCTAAGGAACTTTACTTCAAATACCATTCATTCATCTTTTGTGCAGTTGATTTTGAGGAAACATTTTTTTATAAGAGAGTGGAAACCTCTTCTTAACATATATGTTTTAAAACAATGTCGGTTAGTGATGAACTTGAACTGTTACATAAAATATCATAAAAACATATATACTAAGCAAAAATGTTTTTTTTTTTCTTTTTTAACTCAAATAGTAAGTAAGTGGGAGCGAAAATTTGAATATTTAATCTTTTGATTAAGACTATTATATTCGAATTTTTAATATCGTTGAATTGTAAAGAAAAACGAGCGAGTTACGAAAGCATAAAGCGAAAGCGGAGGGCATCTCATCTTGATGTTTATAATAAAGACAAGGATGGAAGTTCCAGTCCACAGCATATCAATACGATAGTTGCCACTTTTGAAACCCAATTTCATTTACTCTAAAGTCAACCCTCAAATAAAATAATAATAATAATAAAAAAATAAAAAAATAATATATATAGTAAACTATGATTAGGGACGGGATTGAATTTTTGAAAATTTGAAAAAATTTGAATTAGTTTATGGGTTACATTTTTTATCTGTAAATGAGACCAATTCGACCGATCCAAAAATATGGTTACAACTTAATTCAATCTTATCCTACTTCTAATTTTATTGTGTAATATTATTATGAAAATTAAGAATATTTAACATTTGTAATCATGATGCATTGTGACTGGTAAATATTTGATATTCATGAGATTTAATATGAGATAAATAAGATTTTTTTAAAAAATAATTAAAAAAAAACAACTCGATAATCCAACCCAATTTAGGTTGGTTGAGCTGGCGATCCAAACAATTCAAATAGAGTTCACACTCCAATGCAACCCACGTTGAATTAGGATTAGCATTCCAACTAACTCAAAATTTCAAGTTGGTAAAAAAGAATTTTCCAGCTCAACTCGAGTCAACTCGTATACACTCAGAGTTAAACTCCAAACTCCAAAATGCAAAAGAGACAGAATTCCATTTGACCGTACAAAGTTATGGTTTTTCAAATTACATTCAGTTTAAAAGATGAAATTTGCTAACCCAATATGAATTTTAAAATTAAAATTTATACATTTGTTTTATAATCTCTAAAATAATTTTTTAACGTAGTTCAACATCTCTATTTCGGTTTGATAATAAATTTTAAAATTAATCCTTGAGAATTAATTTTTATTGAAAATTTTTAAATAAGAACAATAATTTTCCATAGGATTATATTTCTAAAATTTATTTTAAAAAAGTACTAATAAATATTAAACATGTGACCAACTAAATGAATAATACATCAATGAATTACAACTAGTGATCTGAGAATAAAATGACGAACAAAAGCTCAAAAGAATTAAAAGTGTTACTATCTGCACATTTCTTTTGATGGCTCAATCATAGTCATCCCGAGAATTTTCCTAAAATGCATAAGTGAAGACAAAGCATGTTAGAATAGCTCATGTTGGGCTGTGAAGATAGTTCACTCTTAAAAACGAGAAGTAAACAACGTGACCAGGTCGCAAGAGATACAGAGAAATGTCTTAGGCAGACAACAGCGGAATCTTGAGCTTACAAAATATTTTTTTTTAATAAAATGTTAATAACAACTTAATTATAAGATCTAATTAGACGATATTTTAATGCAAAAATTAGGGTTAATTGGAGAGAGAATTAGTATATTTAGAAGAGAGAGAAAGATGGGCAGTTTGCATCCCAAAAGGCAAGGTGCTTTCCATGTTCAATCTTGTGATATTGTATCTTCAAGTTCCCTAAGCAAACATTGATTATTCAGCCCACAGAAATTGAAAAACTGGTCCAACAAAACTTAACAGGCATGGATGTATGACTTTCTAGTCGATGTTGTTTATGATTAAATCATACGAACGATAGGATTCGTGTTGAGTCAGTCTGCGTACACTTCACCTAGTCTTACAACACAATTCAAGCATAGTTCAACTAATCAATACACACGTCCTGAAGAGGTTAGATTTACTCAACGTGAAACAAAAAAAAGTACAACCCATATTAGCTTACGACATGAATGAGACAAAATCGATCCACAATACGTAACCAATGACTCAAGTTGAAGCATACAAGTTGACAATAGTCTTATCCATCAAACCCAAGTAAAGATATGTAATCAACATTGATAGAATTGCGTACTGTGAAACAATATTAAACTGGTCCATTAGAGATCAGTGATTTTGGTACAAAAAGAGGAAGAGATAAGTCCAAAAATGATGAAGAACAGGCCCACACAGAGACAGAACAATAGAAGCAATTGGGTTATAAGCAGGACAAAGGTTAGGGGGGCATTGGATTTGTGGGTGACTTTGAGTTTGCTTTCTTCTTATTTACCCTTCTCTTTAGCTTTGGTTTCTTGCATGGATTTCTCCTCTCAACATAGCCATGCCTAACCTTAGCTTACTTTCTTCGTTGTTCATCGCCATCATTAGCAGTAAAGGTAGCAGCACCTCCGCAAACTTCGAACATTTTTCTCTCTTTTATTTTTCATCCCTTAAAACTTTCAACTGCCCAACAGAAGCATTCCTTTTCCACTTTTTGTGCATCAGATCCTCTTCTTTCTCCATGACTAGAATTCATCAAATCTGAGATGGGTTTTGTGTCATCAGATCACACAAAAGATAAGATCAAGCTGGAGTTTACTACTTTACTCACTAAATTTGAGCTCCCCACTTTGATTATTTCATCTGGGTCGTCTTCTTCTTCTTTGTTTTCTTTCTATTTCTGAGTTTTGGTTGGATTTTGGATCTCTTTCTGCTTCTTCCTTCCTTCAATTCTAGTTCTTGTTTATGGAGGGTGATCGAGAGTTCAAACACTTGTGCAAGTTATGCAACAGGAGCTTCCCTTGTGGGAGATCTTTGGGAGGTCACATGAGGTCCCATTTGATCGAAAGTCAAGCTGAAACTGGTGAGAATCTTAAGAAAATGAAACTGGTGGATAAGTTTCTAGGAGCTGGCGTTTCTGATGGTTATAGTCTAAGAAAGAATCCCAAAAAGACTTGCAGGCTTGCTGAATTCAGTGCTGAGGACAGGTTTTGCAGAGAATGTGGTAAGAGCTTTCAGTCATGGAAGGCCCTGTTTGGGCACATGAAATGCCACTCCATAGAAACTGAGAGAGTGTCTAGTAATTTGGAGTTTGAGGGCCACTCAGATGATGATCATGGTAATAGATCTAGGAGGAAAACAAGGTACATGGCTGCTGAAACTGATTCTTCATCCGTTTCTGATCACAATGATCAAGAACAAGAAGAGGTGGCTTTGTGTTTAATGATGCTTTCTAGAGACGTTGGTGGGTTTTATTCAACCACCGCTGAGTCTTTGCTCCCAAAAACTCACTTCCCCAAAGTTGTTCAGGCAATTCCTTCTGTATGTGTGGGAAGTAAGATGGTGAAACTCAAAGAATTCCACAGCAGAATGGATTCTGGGTATCTCAAATTTGAAAGAACAACCTCAGAATTCAGTGCTTATATTGTGAAGATGAACAAGAACAATGAAAAATATGGGTCCAGTTCTAACAATCAAACGGAGCTGAACCCACCTCAGTTCATGTCAAGTGGGTTCAATTCAGATCAGAGGAAGTTTCAGGAGCTTTCTACTGGGGAATTAAGGTCAAATTCGTTCAAAAGATCATTACCTAATGAACTAAACTCAGAAGGCTACAAAAGCAGAGTAAAGAGAAGCAAATTTCAGTGTAATTCTTGCCATAAGGTGTTTCACTCATATCAAGCACTTGGTGGGCATAGAGCCAGCCACAAGAAAGCCAAAGGATGCTTAGCTTCATCGAAGACAGAAAGCAGTGAAAACAGCATCGAAACAGAAATTTCAATCGACCCAACTTTTGAAAGTAAGCCCACACCCACAGTTTATGAAATGGAAAATCAGCAGGAACCAGAGATTCATATGGGGTATGAGAAAAAGAACAGAAAGCATCATCAATGTTCAATTTGCTTCAGAATCTTTAGTTCAGGCCAAGCTTTAGGCGGCCATAAGAGGTCCCATTTGATAAGTGGGTCGGAACCCAGAAACAAAATGCCACAACAAACCACACCGATTCGAAAACCAGAGCCGGAGTTAAGAGACTACCTGGATCTGAACCTCCCAGCGCCAATCGACGAAGAGGGCAGCAGCAACCATTTGAGCACAATCGAGCCATGGTGGGTCGGTGGGAGCCAATCGCACGAGCCGCCATTAGTGGGTTTGATTTGATTAGGGTCCACCTTCGTTGCTTGCGGCTTCGGGCACTGTACAGTACACCCCTTTTGCCTTTCTATATGATTCATTGATTCTTTCCGGATTTGGGAATCGAAGTGATATTCTTCTGAATCAATATGATGGTTTTGCTATAATCTGTGAGATAACAACAGTCTACAAACCTGAATCTATCAGTTGCTTTTCTTCTTTTTATTATGTGGATTATGAAGTTCTTCATACCTGGGATCGAAGTTACAATTTTGTTTTTAAGAGGCCAAATTTACATGAACTTGTAAGATTTTGAAAGGCCAAAAAGAAAAAAAAAGTGGAATCACATGAGCTTAAATGGGGTGTTTAGTGAGTTGCCATTGAATGTCATATCCCATATCTCCATTTTGCGTGCCCTTCTTTTTCTTGAATTTTCTATATCTATCCATACATACTTACGATGGGAGAAGGAAACAGCTCCACCCACCAGAGAGAATCCTTTCAATATTTTGGGCCAAATTAATAAAACATTACTAGCAAACACATCTTATGTGTTTAAATACGAAATATTGAAATTTAAAAAATATAAAAGCAACACAAAATATCGAAATTCATTAATTTAGTATTATTATTATTATTATTTAAAATTTCTCCAATAATTTTATATGCTTGCATAAATTCTCTCCAATTAAAAAAATATATATTTAGATTATCTCTATTTAAACCTCTTGACTAAATAAATTATGAATTTCAATCTTTTTAGTTAAAATATATATCTAAAGATAATTTTGGAAGTCGCAGGGACCCTAATAGATTAAATATTAATTAATTAATTAATTAAGCAATAACCTAGAAGCTAAAAAGTGAGTTTTCAAATGTTTAGGGATGTAAGATATTTAAGTAACGTTTTTGGTGCATTTAGTGCCTCCAAATAGGCATAAACTTTGCCACATTATGGGATGTTGGATGGTGTTTTTGATTTAATTAAGCTTTGTTTACACGTAATTAAGCACTAAACATTATGAAAAGGGACTTAATTATTTCATTAATTTGTTGAAGTTTTGCATGTGGGTGGGCAAAGGAAGTGGGGATGTCCAAATTAATTATATTGGTACATTATTTGGGCACCAAATTATTTTTTTTTTCACCTTAATTAATTAATTAATTACTCTTAATGGGTAATTATGAATTCAATTTTTTTTGCATATGGTGGGATCAAGCAAGTGGCATGGCTTGGTTATATCATAATAAAAATATTATTATTATTTTTGGTTCTCAAAATTAGAATGGGTTACCAAATAATTAGGAAAAAAATGTTTTGTAAAATTTTGATAATATAGCAAATCATCTCATATGGTTTATTTTATTGTTTTTGGGAAATAATAATAATAAAAAAAAAGTTGATTTGAGCCTAAAATTTGGAGGAATTTATTATTTTTGGTAGAGCGATTAATTTGAGCACACACCAACTAATTAAATGCATATATTATGAGATGGGTATATATATGTTGGGTTGGGTAAATTTTCTGGACCAATTTAGAATTTTGGATGGATTGATTTAATGACGAGGGAATAAGTTTGGTTGTCACATTATTTTTTTAGTTATTTATTAAAAATTTCTGTTTATTATGATACATGTTATATCAATAGTTAAAACTTCATAAAATTCAATATTCATAATGATTTTAAAAGTATGGTAGGATTTGATGGGGTTGAACTGTAACTTATATTGGGATTGATAATTTTCAATTTTTTAAAAATTCAATCCAATCGAAATTCAACCTAACCTTTAAAAAAATAATATTTTTGATGATAAAAATTATAAGTTTTAATCTATATCCATATGTTTTTAACTCAGAAAATATATATATATATATATAAATAAAGAAGAGAATTTTTGACATATTTAGGTTAAAATACTTTTTAAAATAATCTTTTTCTTAAAATTAGTTTAGAATTGATTTTAATATAAACACTTTCTTAAAAAAATATATATCTAAAAGCAAAAAAAATAAAAAATAAAATAAAATTTGATGTAATAAAGTAATTAGCGGACTTTTTTTTATAATTTGTTCTAAACTCATTGAAAAAAATTAATTATTAAATACTATCAAATACTTGATTTTTTTAATTATTTTTTTTATAAATAATTGTCCGTCATAATTAATTAAAGAGTTAATGGGAAAAAAGAAAAAGAAGGAAGGAAAAAAAGAATTAAAATTTCAATGTTTTGGGCCTTTGAACCGGATTCGAACTCTCAACCGGCCCAAATCAGTTCAATTCAATTCCACCATCACGACAGATTAAAATCTCCGCCATTTTTTCGCTGGCAACGGCCCGACCATTATTGGAAATCTAATCAATTTTTGATCATTGGGGTTTCGACGATTCAAATGCTCTCTCTTACATATGCAAATTGCACGCCAATTTCTTCATAATCGATCCCAAATTAAGATATTATTGACATCCTCAGCTACCCACCATCATTTTAAGGGTAAAGTTCGCTTTCGAGAAGGTACTTTCCCGTGTACTCTTTCCGAAGCTTTCGGTAGATAAAAGCAAAGTATTGTTCATTGTTACATATACTTCGCGTATGGATGAGTTGGTTAAAATTTCTAGTAATTTGTTTAAGGTATTTTTGTCTTGTTGGGATGAATTAGTTGAACCGAATTATCCTTTATCTTTGATTGGAACTGTGATGTTTGTCAGCAGGAAATTGATGGAGGTAGAATTTTCTTTTTCTTTCCGATCCTTTTTTGAAAATTTGAATTCACATTTTTATTTCCCTTTTATTCTCTTGCGGCTTTTGCAATTGTTGCAAATAGTTTTATGTTTTACTATATGGGTTGTCGTTTGGTGTTCTTTAATGTCTTCTGATAGTTTTAGATGCCCAGCACTTGCTCCTGTTTGTGATTCTTCTAGGATTCTCTTTCACCGATGTTGAGTCGCAGGAGCAATAGCTCTAGCTCATCTGATTTAGAGGAACTTCTGGAGATTGAGTCAAGATGTCGACAGGTATATTTTTCAATCTACTTGCTGAGAGTTTCTCTCTTGACATGGGCTTGGAAATAAAAATAACTAGAAGTGATTGCTGCAAGATATCCTTCTAGTGGCCCGTATAAAAGTTAATTTTCCCAAGTATTATGTGTCCTGTATATTTGGACAAATTTGATGGGTTCTTTTCTATCTCCTTTAATACATATGTATGTATATATAGTTAAATCTGTATCATTTTTACTTATGCAGCTCAAGAAAGAAAAGGACACACTAATAGGTTCACGGCCACAAAGCTTTGAACTGATAAGGGTAAGTTCCACGTTAAATGTTCTTCCCCCGTTTACTGTGCAGAATGTGATGTTTAGTCTTCAATATGCTTTATGTTTTTTCAGCTCGTAAGCAGCTCTTTGGATGCCAAGATTGTTTTATATTGTCACTTTATGTCGCTTTTGCATGGTTACTCACTTTATCTAAAATGAGCGCTTGATATGTAATGTAGACATTTCGATTATCATTCAGATGAACTATATTATTTTTTACTTTTGTCTGATGCAGCGGCTGGAACTACATGCGAACTCTTTATCAGAAGCACGCAAGGAAGACAAGCTACGCATTGAACAATTGGAGAAGGAGTTGACAAACTGCACTCAGGAAATAGGTACAGGAAGTTGTGTAATGTAGCGTGTTTGAGATCACTTCTAAACTTGACTCTTGTGAATGAACATTTGAGGAACCGTTGAAATCATTATAGGCTAAATTGAGAAGTTTATTTTATCGATGAACTTATTGAAATTAACTTTTATTTATAATAGTTGAATATATAAAGACTATTGTATTATTTATTAAAGATGTTATGCATAAATATATAACAGAAAACTAGCAAATCCGTTCAACGGAAGTTATCCAAATGACTATATTTCCTTAATTTTAGAACTATGGTGGTCGGTCACCATGAAAATATGAATTCTTTTTAGCACTAAAATCTTCTTTTCTAACCCATTATTTGTTGAAAAGTGCATAAGAGTTACGGGTGTGATTTATTATATTTATTATAGTGTGCAGAAAGATTTTGGAAGAGTTATTATCTGCTCCTAGGATTTTGGGGTTTAGGACCCATCCTTTTCTTCCCCTTTGATCATTTCTTTTAATACCCCTAAAGTTTTAGCAATATTTAGTTATCAAATTATTTGTTCTTTTAATTAGTATTTAGTTTGGAAGCATTTCTTAATGTCAATAATATTTTCTGCTTTAATAGCTGACATGTTGAATATTACTGATTTTAGAATTATGAACGATTTTAAAACAATGATGATTGTTGAATTTCTGGCATGTTCGATGTATGTGGCAGCGTGCTATCCTCCATTCTTGACGTCATAATCTTATGAATCTTTTTTGACTTAGTTCAACAACAACATTCATCACAGATCACCTGCAGGATCAACTATGTACAAGGAACGCAGAATTAAACTACCTTGTAGAACACGTTGAGAACCTTGAATTCAAATTAGTTCATATGGAGCGTTTGCAAGAAAAGGCTGTCAAGTTAGAGGAAGAGGTGAAGCGTTCGAACTCAGAGTGCCTCTTCTTGAAGCAGAAACTAGTTGACAAGGAAAAGGAGCTACAAGAATCACATTCCAATATAGAAAAACTTGAGGAGTCGATTTCATCTATGACATTGGAGTCTCAATGTGAAATTGAGAGTATGAAATTGGACATGGCGGCCATGGAGCAGTGTTACTTGGAAAATAAGAAAGTCCAGGAAGAAGCTCTTCATCTAAATGATAAAATGGATAGATTGATTGGGGAGCTTCAGAATGCACAGAAAAATACTGAGTCTCTGGAGAAGGAAAATGAGAAACTTCAAAGAGAGCTGGATATATCGACAAGAAATGCCACCACATTTTGTCGAAGGATTGAGGAATTGATTGAAAACAAGGAGAGATCACGAAATACTCTGTGTTTCTCGAATGACGGAGACAGCGAGTTAGAAACATTACTTGATATTAGGTACTTGTGATATAAATTTAAAAATCTATGGTCTCTGCCCCTGCATTTTCATTACTTGAGACTTCATTCTGCACCATATTTGTTGGTTAATAAGTCTCTTTTCACCACAAATCTCTATGGTTATTGTGAAGTTTCCTTTTAAAAGATTCGCCTTTGCAGATTCTAATATTTAATAAAGGATCCAGATTTTATTTGTTGGCTACTAGTTGTTTTGAGTTGTCATGATTCTGATGAAGTTGCTTTTTGTCGGGGCCATCATATTTTTGTTTGCTTTGTACCTGCTTTCTTTCTTAGTTTTAAACAGTGACTCTTCTTGCCAGTGAAGAACAAAATCTGGATTTGTGTTTTGTATATCTGGTCCTAGAGAATCGATTAGTACACTTTTGAAACATTTCAAAAGTGGATGCAAATTCTTGGTCCATTACTGACACATTATTATTTTATGTGCAGTTGTGGCGAAGACTCAGGCCATCGTCTTCCAAAATTAGCAGGTGCACCATTTGCAGATGAAAATTCAGAAGTCAAAATGGATGTGATGGCAAAGAAGATACAAGATTATGAACTTCTTGTAAAGCAACTCAAGGTATGATGCATATAGCAACGCGGTTGTCTCTGATATCTAACAGACTAATGCAAGATACTCAATGAAGCTCCCTTCGGTTTTTCTTAATTTTAAACTGCGTATAGAAACCAATTAGTTGAGTTAGTTGGTCTTTTTTTTTCTATGCAATAGGATTCTTTTTGTTTGAAGCCTCCAGGTTTTAACATTCTAGTGGTTGACAGGAGGAGCTAAGAGAGGAGAAGTTGAAAGCAAAAGAAGAAGCAGAGGACCTTGCTCAAGAAATGGCTGAGCTAAGGTACCAAATTACTGGTTTGCTTGAAGAAGAGTGCAAGCGCCGGGCTTGCATTGAACAGGCATCTTTACAGAGAATTGCTCAGTTAGAGGCACAGGTATTATGCCTGGGTTTGAAATCTTATATCCCGTTTGAGGCATCATATCTAATTATTTTCTCTTGATTACTACTTTTCAGGTTTTAAAAGAAAAACAAAGTAGGTCATTTTCTGTTGCTAGACGTATGTACGAAATATAGTAGTTGGGAGTATGAATTAAAAGCTGCTCGAGGAAGAGTGTCGATCAAAGGTTTACATTGCTTTACTGTTTCTTCGATGTTGAGAATTATCTTGACCATAAGAAATTAGCACTAACAAACGGGAATGAAAATGCTATCCTTTTCTTTTTGTTTAAGAAAAGTTAACCAAAGAAACGTAGATTTATCGAAAGTATGAGGACTGAATATGGCATTTGAAAGTTATATGTTAATCTGATATTACTTAATACTGGCTAAGGATAGATCAATTCTTTTCATCTACCTCTTTCTCATCCGTTTGCTCATACTCCATCCTTTTAAATGAAGCAGCTTACTTTCTGAAAACCTTTGGTACTGGACTGGTGAATTTGACTGCAAAAATAGTGGCTCCTATATTTTCCTCTTGGTTTTCCCAGATGGCGGCGTGTCGGTTTGACAAAATGAAAAACTTCGCAACCGCAACTTTGTACCAACTACTCAACCAATTCAGCTTCTTACAGAGAAAACAGGCATGCTTGTGTAGAAAACGATACAGAAAGATAGTAGGTTCCATGAATAGAGTTGGCTCTAGGTTGTTCAGCAAGCTGCTATCAGAAATATAAAGTAGATATGCTTTGCACAGTTCTCCCTAGCAGCTCTGGTTTTGAATCTGCGCTTTCTGGAGAGTAATATGATTTGAACTTAGTGTGTATTAACAGAGTGTTGGTTTGGTTTGGTTTGTCATAATTTGGTCACTGTTGTAAATATTATGCATTTGTAATGTGGGAAGTTTTGTTTGCAACCATTCCATGTTTTACTTCACTTATCCACTGCTACTCCATCTTGTTCTGCAAAACGAACTCACAGGGCCTACAATTAACAACGTGGGGTAACTGGTGGTGGGTCTGGTGAGCAGCCTTGCTGGGCTGTTGGGAGCTGTGTAATATGTTGGATGAAACAGAGTGAAATGAATGGATTATTCAGTTCAGAATTTACTTAGATATTTGATGTAAAATGTCTTAAAAGTACTTTTTTTTCTTCTTCAAAGAAATGGACGCAAATTGTTTGGACGATAAAAGTTGTAATAACTCAAATCACCTTTCGCAAAGACGTTTCTTCTGAAGTTTTCAAAATGCCTATTTTAGGGAGAGGCTTTCACATCTTTTCAATCGACTTGGGATCTCACAATCCACCCTCTTTAGGGTCCGACGTCTTCGCTGACATTTGTTCCCTTCTCCAATTGATGTGGTACCTCTCAATCCATCCCCTTCGGGACCCAGCATTCTTGTGGCACACCCCCTTGTGTCTACTCCTTTCGGGGCTTGGCTCAACCTTCTCATTGGCACATCCTCCAGTGACTCTGATACCATTTATAACAGTCTAAGCCCACCACTAACAAATATTATCTCTTATCGTGAGATCCCACATCAGTTGGAGAGGAGAACGACTCTAATATCATTTGTAAAAGCCCAAACCAAGCCCCTTTGAGCTATTGTACCGCTAGCAGATATTGTCTTCATTGAACTATTGTACCTCTAACAGATATTGTCCTCTTTGGGCTATTGTATCGCTAGCAGATATTGATATTGTCTTCCTTAGGCTATTGTGAGATCCCACATACAGTTGGGGAGGAGAACACAAGATTCTTTATAAGAGCGTGGAAATCTGTCTCTAAAGGACAATATCTACCCCAAAAGTGAAAGTATAATCATATAATAATTACAAATAATCATATAATAATGAGCAATATTACAATATTCATGGAAACCATCTTTTGACCAAATCCATCGACACTATTTGGTCCTTTTTCCCCCCAAATGTCAACCTTTCTTTGCGATGAAAAGCATTTGTCGAAGAAAAACTCTACCCCATGTGAACTTTGATTTTAGTTTATAAATTTGAACTGTAACTTTGTTTATAAAGAAAAATTCTACTCCATGATAATCGCTGCGCAAGGTTTTCACATTTGGAGCTCGCAAGACACAGAAGGCAGGTTCCTTGAAAAGCTCATTAGAGCGGTTAGAGAGGTAAACCAAAGTCTTTGCCGTTCCAACTTCTTCCTGCTAATTTCCTCTTTCAAGAATTTTCTGCTACGCGGTTACCTTAAATTGATTTTCTCCTTCCCCAATTCTTCTATTCAGAATCAACCCGTCTCTCTCTGTCCTGCCCTTTAAAATCTGGAATTGGCTTCTGTTTTTCCTTTTCTTCCAGTTTTGTCATTCTGTTTCTGGATTCCTCGTATTACTTCTGTTCTTGTTGTTCCTGGAATACTCTCAAGGTACTCGAGTTTTACTTTCACTTTTTGTATCTGGGTTTTGATCATCAACTTCCCTCTTCGTTGCCTTTACATCATCTTGTTAATTTGCTTCTTCTCCTCTTCAGTTCTTGATCGTGCTACAAGCTCTTCTGTTCTTACATCCATCTTGTGCTTAATCCATTCTGATTGAACTTGTTTAAACAGGAATCTAAATTTCATAGACCTTTAACTGAATTGAATGTTCTATCGGTTTTCCCTCATAACTTTTAACCTGTTGGATTACTTTGTTCTTTCTAGTTCCTGGGAAAATGTTTGGTTCGAGGAAGGCACATCTGAAGATAGGGAGACATAGTTCTACTCCAAACCCTTTTGAGTCTGATGATGGTTTTAAAGCGAAGCAGAATCTGGTTACCTCGCTAAGGACTACCTCAGACCCTTCGTTAGTGACAGAGAGCTTTAGCTCCAATCCTTTTGATGATGATCATGGACATGCTCCCTCTTCTTCAAGCTCACTAACTTGGTCAGAAAGAAACAAGTACAAGAACGATTTTCGGGATTCGGGAGGGTTGGAAAACCAATCTGTTCAGGAGCTGGAGAATTATGCTACTTACAAGGCTGAGGAGACAACAAAAGCAGTGAATGGCTGTCTAAAGATTGCTGAAGAGATAAGGGAGGATGCTACCCAAACTTTGGTTGCCTTGCATCAGCAGGGTGAGCAAATTACAAGAACTCATATGGTTGCTGCTGACATCGATTATGATCTCAGTCGGGTATGTTCGTTTTGAAATGCGAATGGTTCGATCTTGGTGTTTCGTGGCCTTGAAATTTCTAGCACTAATCCTGCCTGTATAAGTCTAAGCACTATCATTTTCTTATTCTTTTCATGAATGCTTATCAGGGAGAGAAACTTCTGGGAAATCTAGGGGGAATTTTCTCCAAGACTTGGAAGCCAAAGAAAACTCGACCAATATCAGGGCCTATTATGAACTCTGGTTAGCTTCTTTCTTTCTACAATCATCCAGACTTTTCTTGTGAGATCCCACATCAATTGGGGAGGAGAACAAAACATTCTTTATAAGGGTGTGGAAACCTCTCCCTAGTAGACGCGTTTTGAAAACTTTGAGGGTAAGCTCGAAAGAAAAAGCCCAAATAGGACAATTTCTTCTAGCGGTAAACTTGTCACAAGGGGCGGACCAAAAAACTGATATGTTTGAGCATGTCTTATAGATGATTTGGTAAGAAGAAAGGGTAGCCACTTGGAGCAGAAGGAAAAGTTAGGATTGACTCATCACAAGGGGCAGACCAATACAAAAGCTGCATTTGCTGAACCTACCAATGCAATTCAAAAAGTTGAGGTTTGTATTTGCTATCTGTAAATCATTACTGCACAAATGTGTACCATGATAAAAATATATCCATGGTTTCCAAAATGCAGTATCATTCACCTTACATAAGCTTTGTGTTTCAAAATCATACATCACACAGGAAGAAAAGGTGAAGCAAGATGATGCACTATCTGACATGAGCAATATCTTGGAAGAGCTCAAGGAAATGGCTGTTGACATGGGTTGTGAAATTGACAGGTTAGTTTCTATCTTCTGTATTCCAGAAAAACTTGTGTGCCGATTCTTGCAAGTGAAAGACAAAGAGACTAGGTGTACCTTAGAAATTGAGATGACTTTGGTGCTTTTTACAGGCAGATTGTTGCTCTGGATCATGCTTCAGTTGATGTCGAGGTGCTTGGTGGCCGAGTTAAAGATGCTAGCCGACGGGGTCGTCGTCTCCTTGGAAAATAGAGTTCAAAGCTCTCATATTCATGATTAGCCATCTCTTGATTACTCCATTTTCCTGGTTCTGTATTCTTTTTGCTTCCAGAAAGAGATGTTCAGACCCTTTTCTTTTACGAGATCACTGGTCGTAGATCCATGCTTTGTTCACCTCGAGCAAACACATTTGAACAATTCCATTTCAAACAATTATTTGGGCATTTCAATAGAATCATGCATTTTCAAACATGGGATCTTTGAACAATCCGATTGATGATGGGTCCAAAATGATGAACAAAGATTGAATGATGCTCTCTTTAGAAACAACTGCCTACACGCTTCTGTCGGACTGAAATGTAAAGTTTTTCGTAATATAATCTAAGCAAATAAGCGTTCTCCTACTCAATGAGAAGCAAACAAGTCAAATAAGTTGCCAGAGATTTGTAAACTCAAATTCTAGTATAGGGTACCGAAAATATTAGCATGCCAGCTGAATCATGAACGTCTTTGCCAGACATCGGTTTCAAGATGCAAGCAACTCTCTAAGCAATCTATTTTTCATAATTGCGTTCACATCCCAAATTAGAAACCTAGTTCGTACTGGTCTTGTCTGGTAATCTTTGATATTCAAACGGAATTCATCATCTTCAGAAGCACAAAAATTAGAAAACCTAGAAAAGAAAATTCATAAATCCATCATAGTATGATTCAGGCTTGATAATTCGAAACTTAAATCCCTAATTTCCTTGCTAAACATAGATTGCCGAAATAAGCTCGTAAAGATAACTCCTCAAAAGGATGGGAAAAACTTCGCTCATTGTTGATAACAACAGTACGCCAATTTACAGTTCAATTCTCTCCAAAAAAAAAAAAAAAAAAAATCTCAAAAACAACAAAAACATAGAAACTCAAAAAACCTACCAGAAAGCGCCATGAGAAACGGGATGAAAAAAGAAGAATAGAAATCAGGAGTTGACATCCATGATACTCTTGACCTTAGGCGCGTAAAGAGAGTAAACAAGGGCCTGCCGCTTCGCAACCTCGAGCTGAGCTTTTCCGCCAGCGTATACGGAGGAGATGGATGAAGGGTCAGAGAGGCTCTGATTTTCTCGGAAGGCATCAATGGTGCGGCGTTTGGTGTATTCTCTGATGTTGTAATCGGGGAATTGACGCGCCGTGCGAAGAAGGGAACGAAAGAGCGTGAGGATTTCAGACCTCGATGGAGCCGCCATCTGTGGAGAGTGAAGAGACGACGGATAGAGAAGAAATGAATCAAACTGATAAAAATGCCGAAGCTTCTGGTTTTGTTGGGTTTGGTTCTTAATACTTCGGTTAAATTGTAAAAAAAAAAAAAAAAAAGAAATAAAAATTAAAATAAAAATTATATATATATATATAGATTAAACATAGATATCCCAAAATAATGTACTGAAATTACATAAATTGTTCGTATCAAATAAAAATTTAAAATGAATGGTTACTTATAATTATATATTATTTTTTTAAAAAAATTATTACACAAAAAAGTATAGAATTAAAAAATATTGAAATACTTCAACCTATTAAACCCTGTTTCTCATTAACGAAGTAATTTAATTCATTTTTTTATTTTAATTTATCACCTAAAATTTTAGGGGCTCTATTTAATCCATATATATATATATATATATAAGAATAAACAAAACATTTTAAAGCTGAATAAAAATAAAATAAATAACAAATTTAAGATTAAAAAAATATAATTAATAAATATGAGTAGGGCCCCTAACCCAGCCCGAAAACGAGTAGGGGACAATAGGAAGAGGCTAAGAAAGATTCGATCTAACCGAGAGAGATGACTTGAGATTTCTACAAAGACAGGTAATAGCTCGATTAATTTTCCGCACCCAATAAGAAAGGAAGGGATTGGGAGTGGCACACAAATTATGCATAACTTACGGATTGACAATACAAACTTGAAAACTGTGCAACAGAGAAGAAGAAAAAGGAGGCCTTCACTGATCATTTGCAAGTTGGAGCTTCAAAATTAGGGAACACTATGAAAGCAATGGACAATGGAGCTATGAGTATTGGAGAATTCACATCAACAAGAACAGGGTTGAGTTGTGGAATGCTTCCATCTTCGGTTAGCTCTAATGGGACACCATTTACAACCATGGTCTGGCTTTGAAGGTAACCATCTTTTGGTGTCAAGTGATACTCCTCTCTTGATATGGACAAATCTGATGCCTTGTTTCCAACCCAACTTACTGTTCTCTTAATACCTTGCATGAAAGAGTTCCTTTTGTATATCTTTCTCACCTCGACAGTCAACGTGTTCCGAACGCTCACTACAAAGCGTGTCTGATTGCTTAAATTGATGAACAATGCAGTTATACCAGCCTGCAACAAGTCGATATCAACCATGACTTACAATCGAGATAGGAAAACACCACGTCGCCTATTTAAGTTTATCTATCTTAAGACAGATCTAGAAGAGACCACGACGTTTCATGCACAGATTTTCATGTTAATCTCTAGCTAGGATTCCAAACAAATGGGAGAAGTCTAACCCTTTCTTTTGAGCAATGAGCATAAGAGCGCAAGAAGGGAGATGCATCACTATTGACAGCAAGAACACCAGTACCCATAAGCCGATGCCATAGAAGTGCACTATTCATTAAAACAATATTGTTTCAGGGTCAGACCAGGCTTTGAAAAACAAAAGAGAAGATCTCGATTTCTATATATTCTTGCCTGTAAAAATCAGGATTCGGTACGAACGTGCCGGTGCTTAGAAGACCATAATTTCCACCAATTAATGATTGTCTACAGTAGACTTTCGTCCGGTACTTGGCTGCCATACCCAACTGATCTAGGTACCTACGTGACGAATCAAGTGACTCGTTTTTCAGGAAAACAAAATCAGAAGTTGGAAAAACTAGTTGATACTGAAAATTACCAAAAGCTGTTGATAAATCTGTTCGATACATCACGGCCACCGCTGTTGTAGGCGCCTCCAGATTCCCCAACCCAGGCAGAAGCCCATGGACCATATGTTTTGATGGTTTGATCAAGTTTACTGAATGTTTCTGATACTCTGCTGAGGTGTAGGGGATCCAATATCTTTTTCGCTAGATTGGGATCAACTCCTGGAGTGCAGAGAACAAGATACGAAACGAAACGAAGAAATTCATGAGTTCAGAACGCACGTTGTGATCGGGATTCAGGTTTTGAAAATACTTAAACAAAGCTCGTTAACTTTCCAACGGGTAACACGCAAAAGGTGAGTATTATAAAATTTTATAGCCTCATCATCAAGAAGCTAACCTTTATCCTAAGATAAGTATAATTAAAAAGAAAGAAAAGAAAAGATAGCACACCTGGACCCAAGTTATACAGATGATGTGTGACGACATTGACTACATTTGATCCCGAAACCTGGAGAAGTTTTGCATACCAATTCTGCTCATAGAATCCTCCCGGTGCTATAAGTGATGGTTTTGAGCTGGAATCACGGTACAGCTCGTCGATGATGCTCCTGAGTTGGATCAGGTCTTTTCCGTACTGTTCAGCAGCAACACTAGCGCCTACACCGCTTCCACTCAGTTCATTACCTTCAATGGCAAGAAGTTATTAAAGTTTAGCTTGGAGTAACAAACTTCATAAAAACAGTGTAGACAGTCGACAGCATATACCAAATTCCCACGAATCTATCGCATATCCCTTAGAAATGGTGTATTTCATAAAATCACGAGCATTACTCGAGTCCCAATTTCCTCCCCACTGAATTTTACCGATCTTGTGCCTCCCATGAAGCGCGTTCAAGCCAAATGTCACAATGGCTCTGAAAGAATAAGATATTAGCAAACAGCAAGACGCAAAAGCACATAATCGAACGATTCCGCTATATATAAAACATTTGTACGATATCATTTCATCTAAGCATTAAGAAAGTAACTCCTCTGTAAGCATACGATTCCTCGAAGTAGTAAGTGATTGAGAAGGACATTTAACTTCGATCGAAACAATTTAAACGAACAGGTAAGGAACATAAGGATGCAAAATGAAACAAACCTTACCCTGTCCTGGTGAATAAATGGTTTAGTTCATCCCACCTATTCATGTGTAAACATCCTTTAGAAAAACCAAATAACCCGGAGCTTATCTTTTGAAATGGACGGCACGGGACTTTCAAGCTTCCGACATCATACAATACCTGGTCTTGTAAAGAGCCGCCTATTCTTATCCTTAAATTGTGGAAAGCTGCTTTCCAGAAGAGTAATAAGATCAGTACTATTTGAAGCAAGAAATAATCAATAGTGTCCAGTTCAAAGATCAGACACAAACCTTGAATTGCCTTGGCAAAAAGAGGATGAGATAGGTTCTGCATAAGAAAATCGAAACGTCATTTACCGAAAATCGAAATCCAACAAATATGCTTAAGTAGCACAATGTTCTTCGACAATTCATACCAAATTGATGACCGACGAGTACCCCCATGAACAGTGGTTGTAATCACACTTATCATGAGGCCACCAATCAATGGTAGCACAGATGAAATTATAGTCAGTTTCTGCAACTTTTTCATTAGCATTGATCAAAATTCTAGCATGTTCTATGTCTTGAGCCCAAATAGCAGATACAGAAACTACAAAGAAAAGCAAGGAGAATCTGATATCCATTGTTCGGGTAATCGATAGTCCCTCACCAGCTCAACAAATCATTGTCGACTGAAAAAGAACAGGAAACAGATAAGAACATCTAAACTTCGAAAAATTAGTCCAAAAAAGAAGCAGAAATCTCATAGTTCAAGCTATCAAGAAATTGAGAGTCATTTTGACCAAACACAAGCACTAATTAAGGATCATTTAAGAAATCATATGTTTATCCAGAATGTTATGATCTTATTAATACAGAATTTTCGGGTTTTCCTAGGAATGCGCTCACTTATTTCCACACCCACCAGGATTTTCCAAACAATTACAGGAAAAACAAACAAGCAATGCCTTCATATTGCTACACTAAACGTACAATAATACTAACTAATCTTAATGCTCACATTTCCAGATCCCATTTGATAAAAATCATTGACAAAAAGAAAATCCTAAGGAATCCAGAAAAAAAAAACACCAAAACAGATAGAAACCCACCTCAATTTCGAGACATTTCGTCAATAATGCAAGAAAATGAAATGGAGATGGCCTCTGAAGCCGATTTCCACAGTCTGACGTCAAGAATTTTTAGCTAAACCACCAGACTTTTCTATTCCTATCTTGGACTTTAGACGACTCCACAGCTAGGAAAACCAAGTTGCACGCAATGGTTCAGCCATTGATATAGCTGTCCAGGCAAACAGTTCCAATATAAATAAGCAGAACAATCAAACTAAACACAAATTTCTAAAGGGTATGTGTGCAAAACGACGAACACTAAAAGATGGGCATCTTTTTAGTCAAAAACCAGTCACAGGATCATAGCTATAGTTATTTAATAGTAATATAACACGATTCCAGAATGTTGATGAAATGGATTAGAAGAAAAGTAAAGATTCAAAGTAAAGGGAAAGAACCTTCACCAAATCACCAAATCACCAAATCCTTGCGTTTCTGAGACGGGTAGCTTCTTGTTCTTGATCTTCGAGAGTGTTGACGTGGGTTTTCGGTAAGAGATTACGATCGGTGGGTGATGGGTCTTATCTTATGGGGGTATTAAACGCAATCCGTGATGGTTCGCGCTTGAACGGTCGCTCTCAAAGAGTGATTACCCACCGAAAGAAAGCAAATAAGTTTCATCCCTCGATCTCAAATAAAACCAGAGATTTCCATTTCCCACTACTTTTTCTTCTACTTTCTACTAGTTCATACTGAATTTCCAAGATATTATACGATTATGGAGTATGAATCTGATTTGCTCATCCCTACCCCCAAATAATTTTCGACATAAATGTTGAATTATTAGCCTTCTTTTCAAGTAACGGCAACAAAATTCGTGACCCATGTTCATGAACTTGTTCTTTAACTCTAAGAATCATAGCTTTTGTAGATTGATAAGTATCAGGTAGTCTCTATCAGAAGGATTTTTCTTAATGGCAATCGTTCCTTGTAAGGGAAGAAGGCATTTATCAATAATGAGTTGTAAAAGAGGGTAGAGAGAAGGAAAGGGGGATTTTAAAATAAATAAATAAAACCATTAAATTACAAAATTATTCCAACAAAACTTTGGTCCGTTGAATAAATTCTTAAAAAAATAAAAATTCTTAAAAATCATTTTATCTATTAAAATTAAATTTAAATTTTATGTCTAAAATCATATTAAAATTTAAACTTTATCTATAATAAATCTATAAATTTTACAAAATTTGAAAGTTTAATAATAAAATTTATGTTTTGAATAATTTAAAAATTAAATTTATAATTTAACCTTAATCACATGGTAAATAAGAAGCTTATCCAACTTTATTTATTATTATTATTTTTTTTTCGGTTAAGAAAATCTCTTATTCGCCAATCAGACAGCATGAGACTCGTGAGTATTACAACACAATCTTATGTCACGTAGATGTCTGTGTTATCTAACACCACTAGCATGTGACCTTTTTGTGTCATGGTCAATATTGAAAGTTGTAATGACATTATATTTACCAATGGGGCAAAACAAGAAGAGTTACTAGGAACCTAACAATATATAGTTGACGAGGAAGAGGAAGACGTTCAAATCGAGCCGTGTGTACGATGAGAGCTTTCAAGAACTCGAAAGGAAGTTGTTGACGGTACCAAAAATTTGATAGTACACAATGACGCATCTAAAAAAAGATTGGGTTGTGTACTCATGCTAGATGAAAAAAGTCATCGTGTATACATCATGACAATTGAAATATTATGAACCCAATTATTCAACACATGACTTGGAGTCAGCTGTCGTGATATTTACTCTAAAGATAAGACATTAACGAGAACCCTATTAATTTGACCAAAAATTATATTCAGCATTCTAAGATTAAACATATTCATATTAGACATCATTATATCGGAGTAAATATGATTTTTTTTTAATTTATTTAAGCTAAATCAAACATTTTATACCAGTTAAAAATCACAATTATAAAAATAATTCTATTCAAAATAATAAATAACTATACAAAAATATATATATATATATATTTACAGTGATTCAGTCAAATTCGACCTACCTCACTCACCATGCATCTCTTAGAAATTTGAATAAAAATCTTACCGACTCTTTCCACGAATCAGGACAAACTAGTTTTTCTACAAGTTTAATAGCAAACTCAATTATTTTCCCAACTCAAAACTAAACCGTTACATGGGTTAGAATTTTGAAACAAACCACACCTTTGAGTAGATTTATCATTAGAGTACTCATTGTTGGATGAAAGTGTCCAACATTGGTTAATTTAGGGAATGGTCGTGAGTTTATAATCTAAGAATACACTCTCGAGTGGTATGAGACCTTTTGGGGAAGCCTAAAGCAAAGCCATGAGAGCTTATGCTCAAAGTGGACAATATCATACCATTGTGGAGAGTCGTATTCGTCTAACATGGTATTAGAGTCATGCCCTAAACTTAGTTGTGCCAATAGATTGACAAATCCTCGAATGTCGAACAAAAAACTCCAAAAAGAAAAAGGGAGTCAAGCCTCCTCGAAGGCAATAAAAAATGACTAAGACTCCAAAGGAGTCAAGCCTCGATTAAGGGGAGGCGTACTTTGTTCGAGGGGAGGTGTTGGATGTGACAATATCATACTACTGTGGAGAGTCGTGTTCGTCTAACACTTATAATAATAAATATATCTCTCAAGAATTAAGATGAAAAAAATAAAATTGAAAGTTACGATAACATTCAGATTTTTGAAAATTTAAGGATTAAATAATTGATTACGAACAAGAGTAAAAGTAAGTAATAATAATATTATAACAATAATAATATAACTATATGTGTAACGGTTAAATTTGAAAAGCTTACTTTTTTATTTTATTTAAATAATAATAATAGTAATAACGACCAACGTTATAAGTTTAGATTTTTTAAAATAATAATAATAATAATAATAATAATAATAATAACAGCAATAATGCGAGAGCCATAATTATATATGTTATATTTTAATTTTCAAATATTCCAATTATAATATATATATATATATATATATATATATATATATCTTATTTTAAAAACAATCAAAACTTCACCTAATTCTTCCAATGTATTACCATTTGAATGGTTTATGACGACAGTTTAGCAATCCCGTCATCATGATGTCATCCTGTCATGTATTTTTTTTCTTGTTTTTTCGCGTGTTAAACCATATTTCAAGACAGTTTAAAGCACTAAAATTACTAAAATTATTAATAATTAAGAGAGTTTGTTATAATAAAAAATATTATTAATTAATTAATTTGAGATTAACAAAAAAAAAAAAAGTAAACAATAGAGTTTGCTAGATAACCTCTGATCATGAACTCATATAATCTACATTTATACCACTATGAGCGGGAATGATCAACGTTAAGTCCTACATTATAAGGACAGTAATGACCCAAATTTTGATTATGTGGATTTAACTTCTAATTTTTTTATATCGATAACATATATTTTAACCAATTAAGCAAATTCAAGTTAGATTTGAAAACATTTTTGGGCCCGAAGATCTTAAAAACTATACTTCACTTCATTCTTATGAATCAAAACACTTCAGCTTACTAGATTAGATCTCAATTTCCTTGGTGGAAAAGGGCACAATGGAATCCAAACTCTTGATGGGTAGCATGTGATTTAAGGACATGACCACCTTTCTTTGTTCTTGAATATTCTTGATATCATTCCCTCTGTAAGGAACAAGGAATAAGAGCAAGAGTGGCATTGTAAAGAGGATATTCTTGCCATCTTCAATGTCCTTTCCTTTTCCCAGAACTTGGCTGAACAGATTTTGAGGTTATCAAACAAAGAACTTCAAAAAGATGGCTTTTTGACAGATGGGTATCTCCAAAACACCCATTTACTTCATGATTAAGGCTTATTATCAAAGTAACCATTTGGGTTTGTGTGGGGAAGTTGATGAAGAAGAAGAACAACATGCCTTGCTTCTGAATGGAGTTGAGTGCAAAGAAAGAAGGCATTTCCTTTGCTTTCTTGCTTATAAACTTCAGAAACAACACTGTTCAGAAGATGATAAGCCAGAGATTTCAGGAGATGGGAACTAGTCAAAGAAGGTACATTTTTTCTCCTTATCCTCTTTCCCCACTTCCAACTTTTCATCTTGTTCATCATTTATGACTCGAAAAAATTTAAAAAGAAGAACAGAATGATGAGAAACATTGAACTAGAAAAGTGTCAAATCATATCTCTGAGTCAATAGAGGTCAAGAACAATCTTGCTTAATTAAAAGTGATAAGAATAAGAATAAAGAGTCATAGTGTAACGGTCTAAGCCGACTACTAGTAAATATTGTTCTCTTTTGGCTTTCCCTCAGGGTTTTAAAACACGTTTATTAGGGAGAGGTTTCCACACCTTTATAACGAATGATTCGTTTCCCTCTCCAACCGATATAAGATCTCACAATCCACCCTCTTTGGGGGCCAGCGTTCTCATTGACACACCACCTAGTATCTAGTTCTGATACCACTAATACCATGTGTTTTAAAACCTTAAGGGGAAGCCCATAAGGGAAAGTCCAAAGAGAATAATATCTACTAGTGATAAGCTTGGGTTGTAACAAATGATATAAGAACCAGACATTGGGCAATGTGCCAGCGAGAACGTTGGGCCCTCAAGGGGAGTGGATTGTGAGATCCCACATTGGTTAGAGAGAGGAACGAATCATTCTTTATAAAGGAGTGGAAACCTCTCCCCAACAGACGTGTTTTAAAACCTTGAGGAGAAGCTCGAAAGGGAAAGCGGTGGGCTTGAGGTATTACACATAGAGCTTAGCTTCTTCGATCCCTCTGTTTTTTTCAATACTGATAGTAATATGACTATTTACTGGTTTGTAGAGTGAGTTTTTCTGAACCAGGACAACATAAGAAAGATGCTTCCATCAAACCAAGAGATGGAATTCCACAGCCAAGAACAAGATCCTTCAAAGAGGGTACCGATGAAAATTGCAGCTATATCTTCCTAACCCTTTTCATCCATGTGGTTGTAGTGCAAGCAGAAGCTTTTAAAACTGACCTCCCCTCCCTCCATTTTCCAGATAAAAAGGAGTCCAAAGGGTTACAATGGCATTTTTCAAACCAAATGAAAGAAGATTATGATTCAAGGGACATAGAGTTTGCCACTGCAGTGGCATCAGCTGCATTTGCAATTCGCTCACACGAAGAAGCAGAGTTACAATACCAGATAAAGAAGAAGGAAAGCCAAGAAACCCCAATGACAAAGGTTAAAAGCAGAAAAGATGAGACGGCTGCATTAGCTTCAAGCATAACAAGGCGATTGTCTAACAAAGAAACGAGCAATCCTGGTAATTATAAATATTGTGCTTGGAAGCTTGTCAGTCAAATCCCACGTCGGTTGGAGAGGAGAACAAAACACTCCTTATAAGGGTGTGGAAAACTCTCCCTAATAGATGCGTTTTAAAAACCTTGAGGGGAAGCCCGAAAGGAAAAGCCCAAAGAGAACAATATCTGCTAGCGGTAGGCTTAGGCTGTTACAAATGGTATCAGAGTCAGACACCGAGTGGTGTGCCAACAAGGACGCTCGGCCCCCCAAGGGGAGTGGATTGTGAAATCCCACATCGGTTGAAGAGGAGAACGAAACACTCTTTATAAGGGTGTGGAACCTCTTCCTAGTAGATGCGTTTTAAAAATATTGAGGGGAAACTCGAAAAGGAAATCCCAAAGAGAACAATATCTGCTAGCGGTAGGCTTGAACTGTTACAAATGATATCAGAGCCAAACACCGACTAGTGTACCAGCGAGGACGCTCGGCCCCCTAAGGGAGGTGGATCGTGAAATCCCACATCGGTTGGAGAGGAGAACGAAACACTTCTTATAAGGGTGTGGAAACCTCTTCTTAGCAGACACGTTTTAAAAACCTTGAGCGAAAACCCAAATAAGACAATATTTGCTAGCGGTGGGTTTGGACTGCTACAAATGGTATCACAGCCAGACTCCGAGCGGTGTGTCAACGAGGACGCTCAGCCTCCCAAGGGGGGTGGATTGTAAAATTCCACATCGGTTGAAGTGGAAAACGAAACACTCCTACTAATGTGGAAACCTCTCCTAATAAACGTGTTTTAAAAACCTTGAAGGGAAGCCCAAAGAGAACAATATCGGCTAGTGGTAGACTTGGGCTATTACATTCTCATAACAACATGTCACAAAAAGTAATCATGTTCATTACACTAGGTCAATCTTCAATAAAGAAGCCAATGGGAAACGAAAAGAAGGACTCAGTGACGGGAATTCCTTTACCGCCACCGAGACGAAGCCTTGTACCAACCAAAGCAGATGTATGGGAGAGAAATAAGATGGAGAAGATCAGAAAAAGGTATAATCAACAATCCATCAGTATAATATTCTGTCAGCTGCTGCATCCCTCAATCCTCAGGAGTTGACATCAGTTGCAAGTTCTCATGTTAATGAGACAATTGCACTAAAAGATCTCTCATCTTAGTTCAGAAACTTGCTCATAGAGCTATTTTCTATGACACTCTCATATTTCAGGTATCAAAAGAGCAAATCTTCAGTCCTTGACTGGGAGAACGAGAAAAAGTTGCTTGCAAAACTTCATATGGAAAAGGAAAAGGCTGAACTGGAGCGCAAAAAGTCGGTGTTTTCGCGATATTACCAGGAAAAAATAGTACAAATTGATCGGATCGCGGGGGGAGCAAAGACGCAACTAGAAGAGAAAAGAAGAAAGGAAGAGAATAAAGCAAGAGATACAGCCAACAGAATCCGATCGACCGGAAGACTTCCAGTCACTTGCTTCTGCTTCCAGTGTCACTAAGAATGAGATTTCACCTTGTTAAGACAGAAGCATCAAATCATGACTCCTGTTTACTTACATTTCACTTAAACTAATTTCAGTCCAAAATCAATATCAAGTCATTGTAATCTTAGAACCACGGTCTCTGCGTAATACCGACTCAAAGGTTGTGTGCTTGAATCTTAAAGTTTAATAAGAAAAACCCTTGTTGTATCAAGCGTCTAAGCGAGAACGGGCACAAACCTTTTCTAAGTATTTACAGTCACATTTCAAAATCCTTCCACTGAAAATTAAACAGAATCAGAGAAGAACACATGGGGAGGTTTTCTAATGGATGAACAATCCTGTCTGTTAGGACAAAGAACCCATAATGTAAATTGTAACAGAGGGACCCAACTATAATGGACTTTGGACTACATTCTATGGCCTATCTATCAATCCAGAGAGTCATCTAGGCCAGCTTCAGTGAAATGGACATTAAACTATCATCAAAGCATGCCAAAATTCTGCTAAATTCTTAGCTACAGTCTATTAAACGACTCCAACTCATAAGCTCATCAAAATTCTTAGGCCAAAACTCAAGTTAACAGAAGATATTTGCTGGGTTCATTTGTGCTTTTAAGCGATGCTTCGCTTATAAATATAGAATGCATGTTCCTATGGTTTTGAAAATTCATCAACAGCTCTAAATGCATTAATGCCTTCAGTGACATCACATGTTTGTACCCATATCATAACTTCCGCTGTTGGATGATATCAGTGCAGATCTAGCCAATAGGAAAAGGAAAACTCAAGAGAAAAAATGACGACAACGACAACTTCTAATATAAGTTGGGAGAGAACAGAGCCTGTGGTGCCAAGTTCAGACCCTGCCTTCAGTCTATTTATTCACCTAACTTCATTAATGTGTCCCAACCAAATCAATAAAAGCATAGGGTGTAGAATCATTTAACATAAAAATCCTTTATCCAGAAACCATTCTACAAATATATACGAACAAAAGTCAGGAATACACAAGAGAATAGAATGATAGTAGTCCTTCCTTTTAAGAGGGTACGTTGCAGAAGGAATCATAAAGAAACTTCATTGCCAAATTCAATTGATCCAAATGAATGAGTTTGAAAAATGATTGAATGATATCTGTTTCTTTTGTAATTTGCTATCAGTTTTTACTCTTCTGAACAGTATAAACAGAGAACATAATGATTGCAAATGAAAAGGACAAGTTTTGGTTGAAGGCTTTCATTTCCCTTGAGTCTAGATGAATGGGATGTAATTGAATATATGATGTGATGCAAATACTGGCATGTTCTTGAGGGTTTCTTTCTACAAAGAAAAAGAAGAGCTTAAATTTTGACATAAATATGGTCCCTTTATTGATAAAGTCTACGGTTCCATTGAATATGGGGAGTTGATAAATCAAATAGGCTCTGGACCCTTATGAGAAACTTGCATGGCTACCATTGGATAAGTACAAAACTGACAATTGTATTATTAAATATATAATGTGGACATGATTTGAAGGTGAGTTTGTACGATTCTTACTATTGTGATAATGATTTGAAGTAAATTGCTATGCTATTCACTCTACCTTCATACTTCAGCTGTTCATCTTCTCTCAGTTTGTGGTATATAATTCCTTCTTTTCTCCCTAAAACTTACTTTGAATAGCTATTTCTTACAAAAATAGTGAAGTTGAGTAATGGGTAATGAAGGAAAAAGGGTAAGATTTCACAAAATCAAAGAGAAAGAAACTTTACCTCAACTCAGCGATGAACCATCCCAGGGTTTTGTTAGCTGCCACAAATGAAGAAGTTATTGTAAAATCTCAAGTTCACTGGCTATCATTGACACCAGAAAGGGACCAGAGTGACAAGGATATAACAGAGTGTCCAAAGTTGAACCAAAATCTGCTGTTCCATTTGTTTATGTGTTGATTGAGGTGGAGAGAGAGAGAGAGAGAGAGAGCAAAAGAAAGAGGCTACATGAGCCATTGTGTAGTTCCAAAATGGAATATGAGCCACGAAAGACAAGAGCAAGTCGAAGAAGAGGAAGGAAAGAGATCCTTTCACGTGCCTGCCCAGAAGAATCCCCACAGTACCACTAACCCTCTTGTCCCCTTCTACAAGCAAATGTAAATATCTTTTTGTTTTCTACAAATTTCAATACCTTCATGGAAAGCTCTGAACAATTTCTGATGCAGAATGCGGCAGGAAACAGAAATCATCAAGTTTTCTCTTGTTGATTGTTAAATTATTTGATCCACAAAGATTTGAAGGTTGGATTTCTTTTTTGGTATTATCTGATTTGTTCAGGGCAAAGCATGGAGTAACAGAACTAACCTGGCAAAATGGGCAACTCGCTCTACATGGGGTTGATGGGATGCACCCAACAGGCCTCCCAAAGCCCACATGGAGCCGAGCCAATGAAACTTTGGAGTCCGTAGTCAATCAAGCCAATCTCCAAACCCAAGGCCCAAACTTGATCCATCAAGGCGAGCCACTAGTCCATACAGGCCGTACCCTCACACCCACTGGCGCCAATGGCAAATGGGTTGAGAGAGGCAACCAAGAACCGCCGGCGAGAAAAAAAACACGGTCGACCTCCGATTATGCTGGAAAAAATGTCAGCACAAGCAACAACAACACTATGCAAGTGGACCTTGGCGACCACAGTGTGTGTGGTAGTGCGAGTGCAGCGTTTTGTAGGGATAATGACACTACTTTGATGACATGGGCTTCCTTCGATTCTCGAAGCATGAAAACCAAATCCATCGATGAAGATTCTGCTTGCCATGTTGAATCGGTAACGTTTGATTTTGTTGTTCAGTTGATTTAGAATCTGTAGAATTGAAAGTGGAGAATCCCATGAAAGAATTTGATCCAAATTTTGATTAACAAAAACTGATTTCACTTGTTCAAGGAAAATCAAGAGGAAGAACAAGATGTAAAGCGTGGAGCAAGCCGCTCTCATTCAGCTAGACGAAGTCGAGCAGCTGCTATACATAATCAATCCGAACGAGTAACCCTTTGATCTCTGAACATTGTTTGTTATAGAAACGATACAACACTAATGATTATGGTATCAAATCTATGCTTTATATTATTTGCACAGAGGCGAAGAGATAGGATTAATGAGAAGATGAAAGCCCTGCAAAAGTTGGTTCCAAATGCAAGCAAGGTAAAAAAATGAGTATCTTTTTATTGATAATCATTGGTATAGGACTCAAGAATCTCAATGATATTTGGATTTTGAATGTTTGCAATGAATTTAAGCTAATGTTGGATGTATGATATGACAATCGATTAAGGCAGACTGATAAAGCTTCAATGCTGGATGAGGTGATTGAATACTTGAAGCAACTTCAAGCACAAGTTCAGTTTATGAGTGTGAGGAGTATGCAACAGATGATGATGCCTATAGGAATGCAGCAACAACTTCAAATGTCGCTGCTAGCACGAATGGGCATGGGGGTCGGTCTAGGCATGGGAATGGGGATGCTCGACATGAGCGGCATGGCACGTCCAGCTCCGCAGTCGCTTCCTCCTCTCATCCATCCTAATTCAGTTCCCGCTACGCCTCCCGCGTTCGTTCCGCCCCATTTCTTGATGCCCCCTGCAATTCCAAGGCAGGATCCAACACAACCAAAGCCTGCCTCCAATGACTCTGTTGATCCATTTTGTGCGTTTCTAGCACAAGTATGAGACATTATCCCTTCCTGTTCTTCATGTTCTTCATGTTCTTTTGTTAATAGACATGTGATGATCTGGTTTTTGGTGCAGACAATGAATATGGATATCTACAACAAAATGGCAGCTTTCTATCGCCAACAAGTTAATCAGACAACAAATGCAACGAGCAGCCCAACACAGTCGAACAACGTGCAAGGAAATTAATGCTTTATTGGATAAGCACAGTAGCACTCAACATTATTTACTTCATAAGTTCTATGTTTAGTTGAAAAGGACTGCACTTCCAAAATATCTGTATTTCAAGCTTAGTGAGTAATTATTTGTATTGAATTATGTACAAACATGATTCTGCATTGCATACTAAATTTCTGGTGAAAAATTCTTGTTTGAAATAAAAACAGGAGTGATGACAAGATTTATGCTTTTCTTTTCATTACGATAAATGGGTCGTTCTTGATTCCTCAATCTTCCAATAAATTTAGTGATTATTTCAAGAGACTATCTCTCATCATATCAAGTGTGGGGAAACAGAGATATCTTAACCGTGAGTTCCAATAATTTTGGATTGTGAGTAATCTCAAAGGTAGATTTTAGAGGGACGGGGATGAACAAACTTCAAGTGTTCGTATTGTCGAATTGACTCATAACCTAGGATAAACAAACAAGGATTTGGCTTCATAACTTGATATTACAAAACAAAGATGTAGCTCAATTAAAGAACAAGAGTGGCAATTTGTTTACTAATGAGAGAAAGAAATGAAACAAAGAATTGTGCTTGTTTTTGTCTGTTTCTTCTGATGGAAGGCAAACAGGTCCATTCCATTCATATTGTTGCACCAATCTCAATCCAAATGAATATGATTGGTTTTGAGTTGTCCCCTCCATTAAATGCTTCATTTTCTGTACAAGTCATAGGAATGAATAAACTTAAACTACAACAGTTGGAAGTGCATTAAATTCTTTGTATTGACCCATAAGAGATTGTGAGTAATTTAGAAGAACATATTGTATGAACAAGCCATGGGTATCTTTAAGACCTTAAAGGACCATAAAAAAGAGGCCCCTTTTGGATATGGTAATGTGAAACTAATATCATGAGGATCACAGTGAAAGGAGATTGATGGGTGTATTGGTATCAAGTTTATGAAAATCTGGACCATTTTTTTTTTTCTTTTTCTTTCTGTGGACTAGTTTTGCCTCTGCTTACAGGCTGGATGGAAGATCGTGGATTGGATATAGAATCTCGATCGGGCATCCTCGTTTGATAACCATCTTGTTTGTTTTCATCTTTTTCGAAGAAACATTTGAATTCAGAGCTAATTCTTTGGACACAAAATGTAATAGCATAAGCCCACCGTTAACAAATATTGTTTGTTTTGGCTCATTATGTATCGTCGAACGCGTCAGTTAGGGAGAGGTTCTACACGTTCTACACTCTTATAGTGGGATCTCACATTCCACCCTCCTTGGTGGCTCAGTGTTCTTGCTGGTGCACTGTCCGGTGCCTGGCTCTAATACCATTTGTTAACAGATATTGTCCATTTTGGCCTATTACGTATTGTCGTCAGTCTCACGATTTTAAAATGCATAAGTTAGGGAGAGGTTCCCCGCTCTTATAGTGGGATCTCACAATCCACCCTCCTTGGGGGGCCAGCGTCCTTGCTGGTACACCGCCCGGTATCTAGCTCTGATACCATTTTGTAACAGCCCAAGTCTACTGTTAACCTATATTGTCTATTTTTGGCTCGTTAAGTATGCTGTCAGCCTCACGGTTTTAAAACAGTCAGTAGGGAGAGGTTCCACACTCTTATAGTGGGATCTCACAATCCACCCTCCTTGGTGGCCCAACGACCTTGCAGGTACACCGTCCAATGCCTGTCTCTGATACCATTTATTAACAAATATTGTTCGTTTTGACCCGTTACGTATTGTTGTCAGCCTCACGGTTTTAAAACGCGTCAGTTAGGGAGAGGTTCCCCGCTCTTACAGTGGGATCTCACAATCCACCCTCCTCAGGGGCCAGCGTTCTTGCTGGCACACACGCCTAGTGTCTAACTCTGATACCATTTGTAACCGCCCAAGTTCACTGTTAACATATGTTGTTTGTTTTGGCTCGTTACCTATCGTCGACAGCCTCACGACTTTAAAATGGATTAGTTAGGAAGAGGTTCCACACACTTAGAGTGGGATCTCACACAAAAGCCAGCTTTTAAGGATGACTGCTTGAGTGCCCGGAATAGATAGAGCATACCGTGAAAGGAAAGTCATAGGATATTAAATCTTAAGGAGACGATGACGAAGACTTTGAACTCGCCTCGGTTTGTTATTTTTGTTTAGCTGCAAACTTGGTACAAAATAAATCCAAGCCTGGATTGAGGGAAGGATCATTTTGAGGGTATGATGAAGGCAGTGGTAGGGCATATGGGTTGGAATAATCCACAATCCATCATGTCATGTAATAAATATTAGATGAAGACAGGGGAAGGTTCAAGAATTGAGAAGGCACCTTCAGATTCATCTATTCTATCAGCATTCTTCAGTTAGGACCATATTGACTTCCCCTCTCCAACATTTCTCTCTTAAAACCTAATGAACTTACGGGCGATAAAGTCACAACCATCTAATCTAAGGGCGCGTTTACTGTGGGTTCTACGTCATTACGATTAATTCTGTTTGATTTTCAAAGTACTTCAAGATCTATAAATAACGTGTTTATATCGTAAGAGATTCAATGAAATGTTAGAGTTATTAGGTGTTAAATACGAATTTCAGATCTTAGTTCAAATCCTAGGTGTGTGTCCTTACACGTAGCATTAGAATGGAACATCTCCAAGTAGGATGTGGTTTTGGGATAAATAAGGTAAAAGTCGATGGACATGTGACACCGAGTAAATGAGAGGTACATGAATGGATCGAGAGTGACCCACCCTAAGGAGATGATGGTTAAGAAATGCTTTTACTCTCTATACCAAGAAAGTGCACGTTTCTTTCGATGGCTCAATCATAAGAATTCTAAAGTTAGGCATACTTAGTGTCACAATCACACTTTTGCTGTAGCGGGACAGCGATTGTGTGGTACTTGTTCTAACCCAGCGAACAAGTCAGCCATGAGAAGTTCAAACGTTGTGGACAACGTCAGTGTTTGCTCGAGCCTCAAGTCACGTTTACGAGAAATGTTTTAGAAAATGTGAGTAATGAGAGATTTTTGAAAGAGGGTTTGAAAGCAAGGTTGAAATAAAGTTTGAAAGTTGTTATATGGCTATAAGCAAAGAAAAACATCACAACTTAAATATCATATTAACTCGAATAAGAAGAATTGACAACTAGACACATCCACATCTGGCTATAGTATATTTTGGGGCATTTTAGCACTGACGGATGGGTCATACACCCTCGTATTGACACAACATGAAATAGTAAAAACCTAAGATGAAAGCATGAAAAACGAGTTTGAAACCGGTATATGGCCATGGACAACACGTCCTGAACAAGCATGACTGAGATATCTGACATCCAGCTATAGACAACACGTTTTGGAGAAGCATAACCGTGACATTTAGCTTGAAGCAATAATTTAATATCAGATGACTTCGAGTAATTTTTAGCAAGTAGGTGAGTGAGGACAGAACATGTTAAAAGAACTCATATTAGTTTGTAGAAATAATCTTCACCCTTAGAATTAATCTAAAACAAGTAAAATAAGTAACATTGTCATATTGCATAAGATGCAGAGAAATATTGAGGCATAAAGTGCCGAATCTAGAATCCAAATCCGGGGCATTCATTTGATATGATGCAATAATAATGACACTTTCAGCCTGGATCAAAGTATTTGATCCATGGCAAAAAATCACATTTGCAACACGGTAAACGACTACAAGTTTACGAACCCTTTACGTAAATCGTGACTGATTAGCATTCAAATTTCAAGTGTACATAAACAGCCCTAATGAGATTCTGAATATAACTCTAAGTATGAAGCTTAAATCTGATATGATTGAAGCAAGCCTGGGTGACTCTCTGAACAAGGAGAAAGGACAACGGCAGCCTTATCAAAATATGGGGCAGTCCTTGTGAATGTAAGAGCATGTAGAAGAATACATGAGTGTGTTGTGCTAAAGCATGCTCCATGACAATGATTTATGACCACTGCCTTAATGAAGCCAAGCGAGAACAATGAAAAGGACAGCAGAAAGAAAGAAGAACACAAGAACTCAAGATCATAGAAACAGCATACAGCACACACAACACTCAGGCTGGTAAAACAGGCATGAAAGAAAGAAGGAGGTTGTAAAAGATCAGAGCTTACTTCAGGGCGAAAAGAACAGCACAAGCCTGCATTTCCTTGGATTACAAATACTCTAATGAACATATGAAACAGAACATTTAGGTTGTTCTTCAACAAGCAAAAAACCTCACCTTCTCCACATAAAGCCTTATATTGAAATAACTCAACCTTCTCCACATAGGTCTTAGCATTTCGATCAAAGCTTTTTACTTTACTCTCATGTCACATTTCAAGCTATATATATACTTATAGTACCTTTTCCAGATTGTAATATAGATCGAAAATTATAGTATATCAGCCAACAACTGTCGCTGCGGGTTTGGCGTCCTGAAGAGATATCACGGTTTCAAAGGCGCCAACCAATGCCTTGACCTTACTCTTCCTAGTCTTTGCAAGCTTGGTTGCTGTCTCTTCAATGACATTATTAAACAGCTTTTGGATTTCTATTTTTTCGTTTGAATCCTGATGTTTAAGGACAATTCTCTCAGATTTTTGTCTACTAGAAACCAATTTACCATCAACTGTTTCCTGCCTCCTAAAGCTTTTCTTTCTTTTGAATTCCTGATCTTGCTGTCTCAAAGAACTATTCTCAGCTTCGTTCACTTCATCGCCATTTTGATTCGCCTCTTTACGCTGAATGATTCTCTTTCTTGAATCACTTTTAGGACTTTGAGTCTCGCTGAGTGACCGTACACGCTTGAATATAAGCCTCCTTGGGGTAATGGGTTCAGCTTGAAGTTCTACCATCCTCCCCTTCCTAAAATGCAGCTTTCTAGATTGGCAATCTCCATTTTCTGAATCAGTTAGAGTCTTCCTTCGGGCCTTAATCTTGTGTTCCACCTTGGACTTCTCGCTATGGACGGGCTCAGATGAGCATCTAGAAGATGATGGCGATGAAGGAGCTGATCGAGTCTCAGACCTTTGAATCATATCAAATCTCTTAGGTCTCAGACCTTTGAATCCCTTGAATACTGTTGGA